AGGGTCAATGTCTTCCCTATTAAAACATATATGAAAACTAGACCCATTAAAATAAATTTTATAACTTGAATATATAAAAATTACACTGACACCGGATCTGGCGGATCAGAAATATTGTTCTAGTTCCTCAAACTGTCGGTGCTCATAAAATATCTAAGTTTTTCAAATATAAATATGTACTAAGGTACATTCAAATTATAAGTTATACTTGCAATTATTTCATATAGAAAATGAGTCACAATTTACCAAAAGAAGTTCTACTTGTAATTATTTCATATAGAAAATGGACAAATCAATGAATTAAAACTTATCAAAATCCAAAGAAGGTACTTGCATCAAAGTTTTCTCACCTCCATGATGATCAACACTGAACCCACCAGACCCCACTTGAGAAGACTCAGCTAACTGGCTTTGATTTTGATCTGGTGTAGTCACACTCACTCCCACAGGATTATTTGCTTCTAGCTTTTCAGATTGTAGAACAAACTTACCTTGATTATACAGATTACTCAATTGGTGGAAGTAAGGACAAGTTCTTGAGTCAAGTGATCTCTTCTTATTATTATCTTTTGTTTTTCTGAAGTACTTGTTTATGTTCTCCCACTTTTCTTTGCATCTTTTTGCACTTCTCTCATATCCCAACTCCAACATCCCTTGTGAGATTCTCTCCCACAGTGGTGCCTTGTTTCCTTCCTTCTCTTCATTATTGTTGTTGTTGTTATTGTTTACACTACTGCACCTGAGATTTATCAGTGCCAACACTTCATCTTTTGGCCATCTTCTCCCAACACCATCTTTCTCAACATTAACATTTGAGGAGGCTTTATTTGAAACTGAATTTGTATTATTCTGTCTATTTAGAGAAGAAGAACTAGGGTTCTGAAGAATTGGAGGTGAAGTAGTAGAAGAAGCATTTTGTAATGTTTCTTGGCAAGGAATAGAGCTAGGGTTTTCAGCTTCTGAAGTAACATTATTTAGATGATTGAGAACCATATTAGAAGGATTAGGGTTTTTGTGTGATGGTTGTGAAGAAGGATCAGTGCAAATATTTGGATTTGAAACATTTGTTACCTTGATTTGACATGAACTAGGAGAAGAAGTGCTTGCTGAGAACTTGTTCAAAAATTCAATTATATTGGCATGTCTATCACCAGCAATAGCTTGTTCCTGTGCCATAATCTCAAGCTCTTGGTTCATCCTATCCATCTCTTGCTTCTTCCAAGCTTCTTCCCTTGCAAACTTCTCTTCATCTCTCTTCATCATATCTTCTATCAACTTGTTGTGCATCTCTTCTTGTTGTTCCATCATCTTGTGCACAATGCTCTCACAAAAACCCTTAAACATCTCAAACCTGTTTGGCCTCTTCCTCTTAGGCCTCTTCTCTTCCTCTTCTTCATTACCATCTTGTTCTTTGTGTTTTGTTGAACCCTCTTCTAGGTCCATTATCTTGTGTTGTTCCTCTTCTATGGTTCTTGGCTTTTCAGTTTCATCAACTTGATGATTATCACCTTGATTATAAAGCTCTTCAAGCTCACTAAGAAACCTATAATTATTATTATTGTTCTTGATGTAGTTAATGTTGTTAAAATATCTGCTTTCTTCTTCAAACTTCTCCTTGCACGTTTCTGCACTTCTCTTATATCCAAGCTCTGCTAGCTTCCTGTGCCCATCATAAATACACACATATATTAAATCCAAATTAAATATCACCAAACCATAGAAGCATTCATTTCATAAATACACACATATATTAAATCCAAATTAAATATCATCAAACCATAGAAGCATTCATTCTTGTTTAATTATTTAGCCTGCACTATTGTCTTCATTTCAACACGTAATAATAATAGACAAAATAATGTTGCTTTAATTTTCCTTCCCTCTCTCATGACTTAGCCCTGTTTTTTTCTCTCTCTCTCTCGTGTGTGTGTTATGTGTGTCTCACGGTGTGTCAGTGTGTGACCTAAAGTATAGGGGCACGTGTGAGTTTGTCTACCATAGCTTATTAGTTTTACTTATATGATTTATAGAGGATGTATCAAATTTAATAACAAACGTGTGTTTGTCTAATTTGATCCACTAACTGAAAACAAGTGAATGACAACAATAAAATGAGATGATTTAAGTGTAATTAAGCATATATATACAATGAATTGAAGTAAATTAAATAATTAATAATAAAATGTGTACCTTGAGACATGTTCCCAAGTGAGCTCAGGGAACCAACTCTCCATGCTAGATCTGATCTTCAAAAGTGCAAGCACTTCATCATTAGTCCAAGGATCAATACTTTGATCAATTTCAAAGTTCATTGGCAAGGTAGTAGTACTATGTTCCTTCTCATGATCACCTTCATGCTCTTTGTGGGTAGAAGGTTTGTGTTGTTGGTGTAATTGTTGCAAGGGATTGGGTTGGAGTTGAAATGGCATTTGATGAGGAGAAGTATTATAAGGATCAAAAGAAGGAAAAATATTGGTTGGTGCAGTAGCAGAAGAAGCATGAAGAGGGAAAGGTAAATGAAGTGGAAGTGAAGTCATTGGTGTTATGAATTGGTGGAGCTGGTCTGGTACTCCATCAAACATGTTTGTGTTTGTGTTTTGTGTGTAAGAGAGTTTCTCTCCTTAACTCTCTTATTTTCTGTGCTCAATGTAAATCAGCAAAATGCTATAAGCAACTTTACAAAACACCAACCCTCTCTCTCTTTTTTCTATCTTTCTATCTTTCTGTCTTTCTCTCTCACTTTTATCAAAGAATTTGTCCTTGCATGCAAGAGAAAAGATAGCCCACCACCACACCCTTTAAGAAGCAAGTGAATTCACCACCCCAAGCCATAATACATATATAATATATAATAATACTCTATATAATAAAATTTTGATTTTACTTTAACAAAGTCAATCCATCCACGTTACAAATGGAAAGTATATTAAATACATATTTCTCCTTTTTCTATTTTAAAACAAAGTGTAAAGTCATCTTTATCTAACTAGATTTTATGTCCCAAAACCATTATTTTCTTATGTTCATAGCCAATATTTTTTAAGTAATATAAAAGTATTAATTTGTATTTTTAAAACTTTTCTTTTTAATTAAGTGATATTTTTTCTTTGGACCGAGACATAAATTGGAATAGGAATATTGGGATCCTCTCAAATACTGGACTATCCATTAGTGGAAAAAAAAAATTATTCGTTACAAACTGCATTAATAATTCTAAGTTGGTATTTAAATTACTCTTATATTATATTGCAACTAACCAAAATAATGAATAGACATCGACTTTTATATTATTTAGATTTGTTTTCATAATGTACCATATTTTATTTGACTTAATACATTCGTCGTCATTTTTTATTTAAGAAATTACATTTATCTCTTTGGGGTAGTTAGTGTAATATATATATATATTTAGGGGTGATTTGTGTAGATTTTAAAAATGTGTTGATAATTCACTAAAACTCAGAGAATATATAAACAATCGTATATAAGATGTTATTGGTTTGTAGTAAATGAGGAAATGAATGCAGTTGCTTCAAAAGGAGGGAAAGAAGAATGTGAAAAGGAAAGAGCTGGTTACATTATATCATATATATGATTGAGGATTTGAAGTAGACGCGCGCGTGAGATAATTGTGATAATGAAGACACTGCAATATAAGATGGAAAATGATACTAGAAAACAAAAAAGATGAAAAAGAAATAAAAAAATTATGGTTGTCACTGGGCCATTCGAATCCTATGCAGTAGCTGATGTTCATGATGGTGTAATTAACGGCATCCGGGCATGGCAGGACACGTGAAAACATGCAGAGTCTGGGACCAATTATTTAAGGATGGGAATCTTCACATGCTACAAACCAATTAACATAGATCTGTTGTCCCAGATTATATCTCGCTTGTCATCCCAAACCGAAGAAAATATGCCGTGTCAATAAAAAATGTAGAACATTTATTATTATTCTTATTTTTGTTATGTTTCGTTATTATTGGTCTGGAACAACATATGAAACTTGATAGAGAAATGAGTTCATGTTCCAAATGAATACAGTGTTATAGTACAGCTTCATTACAGAGCCACTTCCCTTTCTTTCTTTCTTAGATGAGAGGGGAATGGCCTCTACTTATAATTTCTAGTATGGTTAAAGAAGAGCTAGCTAGAAATATATATTTCAATTTAATGATAATGCATGTGTTGGTCCTACTATATTATAACTTTTGTATAGTGTGGATCTAAGAAAACCAACAATAAGAATATTTCCTCAGCCTTCAAGGATTTTACTTTCCACTTTCTGATATTTTACATTTTTAAGAGTCTGTTTATAATATCATCATCAGCTAGCATGTACCATTTTTCACTTCCTCATTTGGTTTGGTTCTTTTCATTAAGTTTTGCATCTTGCTATTAATATACTAATTAAAGGTAGTTTAATTTGCTATAGGAATGAAAATAAAGGTAGTTTAATTTTCTTTGTTTGTCAGTTACATGCAAATGAATTATAGGGAGAAATGATGAGAGTATATTAAAGTTAGAATAATAATTCAACTGATAGGATTGAGGATTCTGATGTTGTGATATGATACAAACCACCAACTTAATATTCTGATATGTATTAATGTTTTTTATCAACCACAAGTGCACAATTTGAGACGATCCATAACACTTGTAACATAATGAATAATAATACCCTTGTATAACACTATAGTGATGGAGTCATGCCAAAAAAAAAAGGCTTTTTAACGTGTCTATCCAGTTCTTCTTTTCAAGCAATATGATAGCCGACAAATTAGTCATTGAATATGACATATAAAATATGTATTTCAGGAATTAATCTTTATGTATTTGTATTATGTAACAATGATTTTGTAATGCTTAGATAAGTTACAAATAAGTAGAAAGCAGCATAAAAATAAACAGTGGGTAAGGGACGCGACATTAGTCCCACATCGCAATAGTTTAGCAAAAGAAAACTATTTATATAGACCTGGTGTGTAGTATTGGTCACGACCTTACTTGAACAGGATCTGTTCTATAGGCTTGTACCATTGTGTCCTTGAGTTCTAAGGAGACAAGAACCAAAGTCTGGTTGATGAATCATGACCGTGTGATCAGAGCGTGATTAATGGTAATGATGACTTCTCATCTGAGATGTTATCTGTGCAGTGGAGGATCGTTCTCAGCTAGAGTCTTCTCTGGTTGGGTTGGTCACACGGTTGTCTGACAGACCAAAATCTTTTTTCACCTATTCCTTGCTCTCGATTACAGATACTCTCTATTAATTATGAGACAAATCGTATTTTTACACTAGCTTTTCGTCATTTCGTATGAAAAATTATTTATTCTTCTGCTGATAAATACTCCTAGCGTAATTATATTTTTTACTAGAGGAAAAATAAGCCAAATATACAGAAATATTTATAGTTATTATCATTTGCAACTACATAATTTAAGAAGTATTGGGTCTTTCATGTTAATTTACCAAATGAAAGAGTGACATATAAAGGCAAAAACTTCATGACATTCTGCCACCAAACTTTAAGTTGAAAATCTGCAAAATTGCTTCAAGTGCAGAAACATTCCAGCTCTCAACATGCCTAACAATCTGTTAAATAAATAGTTGCAATCACTAGTTAGTATGAATCTCAAATCACACCAATCATTGCACATATATAAAAAGGATGCATTTTGATTCTTACTTTGAAATCTTCATCTAATTCATATGATGTGCTTCCATCAATGGAAATCAAAGGTCTCCAAGGAAGCTTTAAGTTGGTCCTGCATATCAGACAAAAATATATGCTTAACACTGTTTTCTGATTATAAATACTGAACTAGTGCACCAACTTCTCAGGGATCCTTAGTAAAAGCTATTTTTCTTGTTTTAAAGGGAAAATAATGCCAAAGATAAAACTTTTATATATACTCAGAAGTATTACATTCACTGCATTCTTTCAGCAACAGAACTACACCAACCATATTGCTGTTACAAGCATATTATCATTCTTTGAACAATGTCACAAAACTGGCCACTGCTATGAGATGCATATATGGGAAAAATACAGAAAGTGAAGCATGGAGAACCTTAGTTTCCAAGTAGCCATCACAATTTTTTTGTCAGAATCAACATCCTGCACTACAAATTTATATAATGAGTGAAGCATGAAACTTGCATCTTTTAAGGAAATAGTACCCTAATGGCCTTGCAGTTGTAGCTAGATCTAGAGACTGATCAACATAACTTATATAGGGAATAAATATGAAGAATGATAAAACTAACAACTATATACATCTTAAAAGTTCAATGTGATTAGTGTTTATATTCAGACTCATGTGATTAACCAGCTATAATATCAGGGTTTTCAGCTTACAAAGCAAGATAGGCTAGAAACTTAAACTATAAAATAGAAAGATGAGACAACATAATCAAATGGGTATGAATATATAGTTTATCATGGTCCAAACCCCACACCAAAAGGGAATAAATTGGGTCAAAGTATCTAGACCATAGGTGTAGCTTCAAAATTAACACATTTGAAATGGGCATAAACCTTCACAGATAAGTGGAACTGAATCAAAATTTCAATAGTAAAGGTTCATTCTGTTTAAAGTTTTAGACTTTTCAATATGAATCTTTGACTTTGTTTATGTAACATCCAAACAGGTCTAATGACTAAATGGTTTTACTGTTTAAATGACAAAATCCAAAGGAGTGCATTTTTTCCTTTTCCACAAAAGAACACCCTTAGACAAGAATTCCACCAATATTGGATTGATACTAGTTAGTCTCATGTAAAGTACTACTACATGCTTTTACAACTAGTATACAGTAGCTACCTTCTCAATCTTTTGTAGTTTAATAGACGCGCAATCAAAGAAGGGAACGAGCAATTTCAAGTTGCGTGCATATAACTCCCTACCTGCATGGCCATGAATCATAACTTCAGTTGATTGACATCATTTTCACATTGATCAGTTAGCTTTTGCAAGCCTTGAAGTTTTGAAAACAGAAGAGAGTGTTTGTGTGTGACACCAATGTGTAACTTAAGCTACTAATCAAGATGCTGATGAATACAACAAAAGAGATAGAAAACTAAGCACAATACAAATTAGAAAGAGTAGCAAAATAGTAGTTATTGGTAAAAACTGTAATTCTTACCTTGAAATTTAATAGTTGGATCTTCAAAGATACAGTCTTTGGTATAAATCGAAGAAGTGAAGTTCCCTAGTCATCAAACATAAGTGAGAAATGCATTGTTTAGTTTTAATTTTTAACTTCTAACATAAGCTTTTATGTTACATTGTTGATATTCAATCATGCATGCTAAAATAAGTGATAGATAACACATCATACCAGAAAAGAAGGGAATCTGATATCATAATAATAGTAATAATAAGAACATGAAATAAAAAGTAATGGCTGCAAAACTTTCAAAAGGATAGTGAATCAGATAGTAAGAGTGGTACTAGTAAGTAATGTTCGATAAGAGCGAAAACTCGAAAGATTTAGTTACAATGCGCATTCAGTACATTATCTCCCTAAAAAAATCTGATTGTAATGATAATAAGAACTACTATCATAAAACTAGTCACAAATGTGCAGTGATGTATAATTGAATGACAAGGGAACACAAATCTACACATAACATCAAATTAAACTAGAAAAGGAATGAAAAGTGGCACCTGTAACAAAATAAGCCTTGTCATAATCAGACTCAATGATCATTACAACATCATCAACACTTGAAACTGAGAATTCATCTTTTTGATTCTCAACATCTCCACTCAAATCGCTGCGCGTTAATAAGTAGGATTAAACATCAAACACATTAAGAATATTGTGGATTTCATTAGCATAGATAGACAAGAATCCACCTTGTTTGAAGGGAAGGAGAGAAAAGCCTTAAGAGCTCTGTCACTCCACTAACTACTATTTTCAATATCTGAGGAGTTTTTGTTGTTTCTCTTTTAAAGCTTGCATTAATCATCTTTCTGCTATAGGGAATGTGAATGTTACTTTTTGAGCATAAGTGATAACTGCACAGCTTCAACTGCAAAGTAATAATCTTAATCTGAGAAGCTATGCATATTATTGTTACTGTCATTAAGGGAACTTTGAAAATCTAAACTCAGCTATGTATATTAGTGTACCTGAAAGTTTAAGGACAGTAGAGGAGGTGTTCCACTCAACCAGAACCATGTTCTTGTTGACATTTTGGTGTCATAAGATTTTGATTCAGAATTGTTTTGTGGTGTATGAGAGAGCACCTTCATTGGCCCATTAGGCCAAAAAAGGCAGTGTAATCCATTCAACCATTCCATTTGGTAAAAAACTAAACTTTGGTTAGGACTTTGGAGCCTCATAAAAAAAGAATGTCACTTTCATAAACTGAAATTGTTTCTAAAGTGAGTAATTAAGAATGCCACTTTGGAGAGTAAGTGATTCAAACATCTGCTTGGATTTACACACTGATTTGCATAAATTAATATATTAAATTTAAAAAAATTATCCATCTGATTTAGATACCTTTCTAATTGGTCTAGACTATTTTGATGTTCTTATAAAACAACTTAACATTCATAGAAATTAAGTAAAAGGGTGGAAGGTAAGAATTAATCTATGACCATCCACACTATTTGGTGGAGAAGCATTTAGTTTGACATAATAGAGTGGTGTAATAAATGTTGGAAATTAAGTGAGGGTGATTTGGAAAAGCTTGATTATATGATTCTTGTGTATTTTACAATAGGAGACAAATAATATGACAAGAATAAGATTTCATATATTTGATAAACTTATATTTGTTGTAAGAAACATGGGTCAGAAACTCATATCCTGTTAAGAGTATAGCAACTACCAGAAGCCAATTTGCACCATCCACCTTAGGCCAAACACACTAATAATAGCAACTGAATTATGTTTACTACAAGGACCACACCACCTTAATTATTTCACTATCTCTTGTCCAGTGATAGGTCCTTGGAGCATTATTAAACAATTCTCATGCAAAATTGCAGCCCTAAAGAAAAGAAATAGTAATAAATTTTTTGGGGCTAAAATGTCACACGCTGGATAGGAACCACAATTTATAGGATACCAGATTTCAAAACTAAAAGTTCTGTAATTTTTAATCATTTTTGGATTGAATATACTTTATAAAATGTTATATGTATACTGAACAAAGTACAAGCTAATGTGGCTACTTAGTCTTCAAAATTATCTCATACGAGAGTTAATTTATCATTAGTGTTTGCAATTTTAAGGTCATCTTTAAACTCAGCATTAAGCTCCTTCCGCAATGCCACGAGCTCTTCCCCTGCATTACAGATATAGGCCGATGCTTGCCTTCCGGACAAGGTTGCGCCTTCCATGCTGTCTATGTAGTCCTGAACAAATTAATTTGATAAAAGACAGCAATATCAATGAAACTTAGATATCACAACTGCTATGAAACTAGAAAAATCATACTGCATTTGCTAGACTGCACGCCAGAAAATTTTAACCGCTCCTTAAAATAGCATCATCTACTGGAAATGTTAAAACTGTTTGGTAAATTTGAGTAATCTGAATCCCATACAGTAGGAAGTGAATGACTAGTCTAGTTTGATTAAGATGTGAACAAGCCAAGTAACAATTTACATGATACTCCAATGTATATTTTTTGATCTTGTAAAAAAAGGGTGCATATCATATACATCATTTTCCATCTAAAATTTTAGACACATTAGGAAATTTTGCACTCCTGAATCCTGACACTAAAATAAATGACAAGAAAAAGCATAAAAAGGTGGTATTTCACTGTAGATTTCGGAACAACTCAACAATTGATTCCATTAAATCAAGTATAGCATAAAGTGGGGGTTTATTGTTAGAGTCAAAGGAGAAACTTCACTGCTAAACTCTATTTCAGGGGTCATACTTGAAGCCCAGGAGGCAAGAACCTATATAGAGGTTTGAGGATTTATCTTACTACACCATGTGATCTCGTATTTCAGCTAAAATAAATCCTTGAATCCATGCATTTTTTAGGGCTACATCTTACATGCATAAGAAAAGCACGACTATAACACTAGTTAAGAAGTTGCGAGGTATTTGAACTTACCTGCTTTGTGTAAGAGCCAGAAAGAAAGAAATTCTTCACTGGCGTCTTTTGATCAGGCCTAAATGGATCTTTACCAGGTCCCTCGCGGTACAAAGATTGTCCAATTTTAACAACAGATGACCAAGTC